TTAGAGAGAGAGACGTCTTAGTAGAGAGAGAGAGAGAGAGAGGAAGCTTTCCTTTTGGAGAGAGTTAAGTGGCGGCAATTCAAAAGATTTTGTACCCGCGGGATCATAACGCCTAATTACTCCCGTGATCATAAGGGTGTATACCGTCCATGAATAATTTAGACGGTTACCAAGAGAGTAACTGACGTAATTTCATTTGATGAAATATGTGATCAACGGTAATCACTTGTGATCCATATAGCTGCATGAAATATGTGGCGCTCAAGAAGATTGTATTAAATCATGGAAATGGACAAAATATTAATTTTTGAGTAAGGTTTGTATAAAGTGCCCACGGTATATTATACATAAATTTTACCCGCAAGATGTAATTTTAGTGTCAGAAACCTTACAATAGTTGTTCAACCCTAATCACAAATTTTAAAATTTTAAAAATTGTACACATCAAGCAAACAAATCTTGAAAGTTTTGAAAATACAAACTCCACTTAACGTCTTTTTTTCATTATATCCATGTATCGGCGTTGAGATGATCAATAGGAAAGTTTTCCAACTTCAATTTGCTTTTTATTATCTTTGAGGTGCACCTTACTTCTACGATACAAGGTTAGAACCTCATATAATTTTTTTCAGTTCAATTGTAGGATTGAAATTTAATCACTTTAAAGCCGTAGCCTAATGCCTTATAAAATATTAATTCATTAATCTATAAGGTATTTTGATAAACTTATCTTAATTGATCAACTCTATTGTGAATACATTTATCATGTGCTCGTCTGGATGGAAGTGTACTTACATTTATCATGTGCTGGTGTGGAAGGAATTGTACTCCTAGAGGTGTAGTCTATGTTGCAGCTGTGTATGGCATAAGATACACAACGATCTCATCCACCGTCCTTTCTCAATGAAAGATGGTGGAGATCAACCATACGTTCCAACTAGCGTTGATCCTGGCACGATAAATCTTCACCTTCCATTATTGAGGATCACGGTAGATGCCTAAGCTGTGACCACGGCTGCTACATAGCCCAGGCTCTCCACGAATCCAAAGGGCTTGATCTATGCCATTCTAAGCTGCCATTAAGCTGATTTCGGCTAGAAAACAAAGACCTATGATGAGGTCTATGACTCTATTCTCATCAAATCTTCATTGATTTACTATTTTTGAAAATGGCTTGGGCTTTGATGATATTATTGTCGAGCTCTATGGTGAGATCTCTCACTCCATTTTCACCAAAAGATAGGATCCAAATCCTTTACTGACGTACCACTTTACTTACTCAAAAAAACAAAGACCCATCTCTCTCTTTAACAGAGTTCGACTAAAAAGCAAAGATTCAGTCTCTATCTCTCTCTCTCGATGGAAAAAGATCGTTCTGTTTCTTTAGGAATCAGGATCTCTCTTTCTTAAATGGCATTGCATTACCCAGAAGGAGTCTTTCAATGTGGGGACTAATCTTAGCCTCTTCTACTAAGCTTTATAGCAGTATTGAAAATCTCATACGAGCCAACTCGGACTCGTAGTATTCTTGTGTTGGGCAGTCTAACTCAGGGATCTTAAAAAAAAATTCAAAAAGTTTTATAAAAAATCCCAAAAATTTTATTTATACTATATATTTTTATGTTTTCTATCACTTTGGTAAAGATTGAAAAGTCTTTTAGCCATGACAAAGATTGAAAAGTGTTTTAGCCGTAAATACTTATTTTTACATTTCACTTTTGTTTTGGATTATTTGTAAAATACCTTCTCTCCCATCAAAAATAATTTTTTCAAAATCCATTTTTTCACTACTTTTTCAACTTCATGTTAGATATGTTTTGTTTAATTTTACTTTAAATATATATTTTTGTTTAATTTTACTTTAAAATTTTTTTTTTTTTTTAACACGTTTTAGCTTGACATGTCCCGGCCCAACTTGTACCCAGTAACTCAGACTAGGCCCAAGATGGTCGGCGTAGCCATGGGCCGAGTCCGGTCGCCGAGTCGTGATTTTGTACACTTCACACAGTTATTGTAGAAGACCTAGCATTATCGGTTCTTTCAACCCAAGTATAGTATATCGTCGCAAACGTGGAGATCAAGGTAGAATCATGTCTTTAAAACTTCTTTACTCATCCTTGGCATCTTCCTTGAATGCTCAAATCTTATTCTATTCTTTCGAGATTATCACTTAGGGCAATGTTCAGTGCATGCAAAAATATTTTTCAAAAAATGTTTTTACGTTAAAAATTCTATTACCTGGTTAGGTGTGAGAATATTCTCACGCAAATTAGCTCGTGTGAAAAGATACATTAGGACCAATTAACGTGAAAATATTCTCACAACCAACCACAAAAAAGAATTCTTTCAAGTGAAAATATATTTCGGAAAATATTTCACGCGAAACAAATGTGCCTTTTAGTTAAAGGCTGCAGTTGGCATAGGGTGCAGTTGGCATACGGATGCTCCACAGCTGTAGAGGTAAGGTGCACCTTCAAATTTTATCACGGTATACAATTTTGATATAAAATGTTCTTAGGATTATCTCAAAATCTATTTTTATATCTAATTATAAAATTTAAAATTTAAAATATGGTTAAAATCAAGTAGATCTATAAACATATGAAAATATTGAAAATGGACGGTATAGATAATATGCTGTAAAATGCACTATTTCTGAAACTTAATATCCTTTTATTTTTTATGGTCATAAATCTCGATGTCAAGATGATCAATCAAAGGGTTTTTCAACATTAAAACTACATTTTCCAATGGATTTTTGAGGTGCATCCGTAGTTCTACATTATAAGGTTGCATCCTTATATAAACTTTTTCCTTAGCTAAACTTTAAAAAGTATGGAAAATCAAACTACAGATGATGTGCCCTTTAGTGAAACTTTAAAAAGTATGGAAGGAAATCAAACTATAGAGGATGTGCAGCAAATGAAATTGTGAAATTTAAACTTGTATCCTTCTTCTTCTTCTTTTTCTTTTTCTTTTCCTTTTTTCTTTTTTTTTGGGTGAATCTCTTTGCTTAATGATTAATTGGATGGTGCAGGACATTTTTTAACGGACAAATTCCAACAAATTTATCAAACAGTTAATTGTAATATTATATTTTAAAACCTGGCTCCAATATTCAAATTTTTAAAAGAAGGGGTTATTTTCTTACTTATTTGATCTTATTGTCTGATAATTTCTTTCCCAACATGCAATTCAAAATCCAAAATAAAAAAACCGGGAAACTCGATATGGTACCAGCACCTATCCTGAAATATTAAAGAATTTGAAGCCGGTGTTGACCAAAACAAAAGGGAAATTTGATAGGCAACATCAATGCCTTCCATGATTATTAAGGAAAGGCTATGTTCAATACCTATTCTGAACTATTAAGGAAATTCTAAATGACCATTAAGCCCCCAAGAAATAACAATGTATGAAAACCAACATGAAAAGAATTAAGAAAGTATTAGTCTGTAAAAGAATAAATCATAGCCATATTCCAAAGTTGCTTCCAATTTTCAGAAGTTACTTGTTCGATGGGGTGATATCCAAAATCACATCCATAAGGAAATCTTTGAGATTGATATTGATATGGATGAATTTTCATGTTTATTGGCATTCGTATTTTGTGGGATGTGAAATCTCTTTTGTTAAAAAACTAAATTATGCAGGATATATTTCCTAATGAAATAAGGATTTTTATTTGTTATGGGATTCACAACTTTTTATATATAAATGAGAAAATAAAGAAATATGCGTGCTCCCATTTGGGTCACTTAGGCAAGGATTTTTATTTGTTATGGGATTCACAACTTTTTATACATAAATGAGAAAATAAAGAAAGGTGGACTTCTAGAGATAGGCAAGGTCACCTGCACAGAGAAGGAGGTGTCTCTAAAGGAGACTTTAGATAGAGACATGAGTCTAGTAAAATAAATGGTTTGCCTGTGCTTCGAGTGGAGAGAGGTTTGTTTCTTGTAGATAAGTTGTTTTCATAAAGATTTGGGATGGTATTTTTTTTATATATTAAAAATTAGTTTCTTGTTGCTCTTACATCTCTATCCGATGTGTTTAATAACAATTACCAGAAGTCAGGAGAAGAAAGAGAAGGCAGGTGACGTTGGTCGGGAGAGTGATTTAAAAGGTTGTTCGATTGGTTTTTGTATTAGTAGGGTACCTTTTGTATCCCAAACTCTATGATGTAACCCTTTGGGATGAACCACCAAAAATCATGATGTTTTTTTTTACGTTATTTCTTTCCTGCGGTATTTTTCTTGCTTGTTGCCGATTCTATTTTTTTCCACTCTTTATTTGCAAAAAATCAACCCACACGTTGTAGAGCTTCCTCACACGACATTACTAATCTACTCCATCGCATTTTCAAGCAATTTTTTATATACTAAGCACACCCATCTTGAAGCAAAAAGCCAGGGAGGCAAGGACATATTCGCAATGCTTTGAGCTCCATGTATTATTCTCAACCTACGTTCATTTTTGTGTGCACATATGTTTAAACGATGTTCTAGGCTTTATACATGTAGCAGACATGCATACATACATCTACATAGAGCAAAAATATCTTACACACGCATACATGACAAACGTCTATTCATTTGCAAATTTTCGTGATATTGTAATAAATTAACGTACAGTTTCATGGGTAATATAAAATGACCACTTATCTTTATTACAAGGAAGTCATAATTATTCACACTCACTAAAGGGAGCCCTTGTAAATATAAGAGAGGCATAAAAAAGACCTGCCTTTTTTGTGAAAACTTTGCATGCTAAAGGAAAATATCATTTAAAAGGTCATGATAATTATTAAATCCTTTTTTAAATTCACTCAAGTACCTCATCAATAAATATTCTTAAAACTACTCAAATTGTCCATACCCACAGTTAAGAATCGTGAACAAGTAAGAACATTGTAAGTAATTTAAACCACCTAAAGGCTCGAAGCAATCTCAGCTTGTTGGGTTAGGTCAAATTACTTAAGTACCCATTCTTGTTCAATGCTCTCAACCCTAAGTACATGCAATTTGGGTATTTTTGAAGATATATTTTGACGATATACTTAAGTGAAAAAAAGAAGATAAAAAGTGAGCCCTTAGATATTAATCTAAAACTCGTGTCCCCTTAAGTAATCTTCTTAAAGGATTTGGCCCCTTTAATGATATTTTCCCTCATGTTTGATGAATTCCCTTTTAGTGTGAGCATCAACAACCATTTGCGAAATCTCCACTGTATCCTTTCCTGGTCTCATGGATTGCTATGTCCATATCAAATCTATAGTACGCTAAAGGGAAAAGATACAATATTTTCCAAAAGAAAGGTACTTTTGTATAGGTTTTGTTCAAAGGAATATTCACTTAACCCACTCAACAATCATTGTACATTCATTAGCTTTGCTTTTGAATACAATTTTTTTTAACCAAATGCATTTTTTGTAATTAGAATTGATATTTTTATAAAAAACTAGCAACAATATATCGGTGGTTAGAAAGTAATTAATGTTTAATGTGGGTGACATCACACTCAATGTGGATGACTTTGCACGTCGTTGGGCCAATTGATGTCATTCTCCACTATAGTTAATAAATATTTTTCTTTCTATAAAAAATTTTATACTTCAACCTTGATGATTTGCCTAAAATAGCCCTAGACAAAGAGGCTACAATATTGTAGATTAAGGGTCCTGAGGATCCAAAGAGTAGGTTAAAGAAATACTCCATAAAAAAAAAGAGTATTGCCTAGTAGCACACATTGGTATATTTTCATTTTGTAAGTGGGGAAGTCATGAAACTCACATTAATTTTGTGTAAGGAACAGGGCAGGTAGACAGACCATCCACCATCCGTCCTCGTGAATGTTTGGTGGAGATGAGCAATTATGTCCTACACATTACTATTCACAGGTGTGAAACATATTTTCCCCTCATTATTAAAACACTTGGAATCATAGTTAATACAAGATGCAACAAAAGCAAAAATTCCTTTTCACTCTCTTCCTTATGTCCTACACATTACTATTCACACGTGTGAAGCAGGTTTTCCCCTCATTAAAACACTTGGAATCATTGTTAACCCAAGATGAACAAAAAGCAAAAATTCCTTTTGACTCTCATTCCTGCACGTTACAAGAAACCCAGTAACAACAATACAATCTTGTTTTTCACAGAACAAATTCGATGATATCATTGGCCAGGGGAAGGTGAAGTAATTATTTTAATATTATTTGCTTGAAGTAATTATTATAATATTATTTGGTTTTGTTTCATTCTATATGTTTCCAAGGGGGTTTTGATTCCCCTCATGCAATATTGTCAAGTGTCCATTGACAAAGAAATCCTTACACGAGGTTGATGTCCAATTGTATACGTGACACAAAGAAAACCTTAATTTGGGGGGAGAGTTTTAGGGCAGCTCAGCTGATTCTAGGGCTTTTGTTTTAACCCATGAGGATTTCATGACACATGTGTTCTATGACCTACAAAGAGAAAGGTAGTGAGAGTTGCCCTTATTTATTACAAAAAGGAACCATGTCAAAAGTTTTCTCATGCATGTCATTTACATTGATGCAAATAAACCCCAATTACAAACTAAAGAATGAGTACAATACCCACCTTGAGCTAAACAACGAGAGAAACCCCAATTAATGGCTGAATTTGAAGTTATGCTTGGGCCTATATGCCTCCTAAACACTAACTGAAGAATCCATTCAATTTTCCTTTTTTCTCTTTCTACTCTTTATATATTTTCCACATATTGCATATTTTAGATAGAATGGCACTCCTAAATAGGGGGCAGACCTAAATAGGGGGCAGGATGAGCTGATGTGGTCATGTTTACACAGGATGAAGTTTATGTAAGGCACAGGCTTTACGGAAACAAAATAAAGTCTCACCTCAAATTCTTGTGCGAAAAGCACTTTTGGCAACAACATTCTCTATGATGGCTCTAAAATCAATTAACAACAACGACAATAAATTTTGAAATTTAAAAAATGATATAGATCTTATAGATTTGTGAACATTTATTTTTCAGGGTGAAACGGACGGTCTAGATAATCTGTTACAATATACACTATTTGTAGAGCTTGAAATCATTTTTTTTCATAACTACAACGTTCAAGCCTAGATGATCGATGTAAAGGTTTTCCAATACTTGAATACAATTTTGGATGAGTTATAAGATGAGGCTTTACTTATTTTGATAGGGCCGCAGCCCTATCAAACCATTTTCCTTAAATAAATTTGAGCAATGTAGGTTTGGGACCATTCAGTAAATTTCAAAAGTCCAGGGAGCAAACTATGAGTCTTCCTTATGTAAAATCACAGACATTACTACGTGGTTTCTTTTACCTAAATCAATTGTTTCTTTGACAGAAATTGTAAAGAAGCCTATAAAATGCTGGTCTGTGTTCACTTCACTCATTCTAATTCAGCATTGGCTGCTTCATATGTATTACTTGCATTCAAATGATTGAATTGGTTTTGCTGCTAGATGAGAAACCCATGGAGACCTTGGAACTTCTTTCACTTGGCCTTGGCTCTGTTGCTAATACATAGAGCCTACGCCACTACCCAAAATGGAGGCACCACCTCTAAAATTGTAGGAACCACCACTAAAAATGGTGGTCCTTCCTACTATACCCCACCTACCTACATTTCTCCTCCACTAAAACAGCCACCAGTTTCGCATCCTCCTCCTCCACTTCGAAAACCACCCATAAAACCACCTCCAGTGCACAAACCACCTCCTTTCCATGCTCCCCCTGTTCACAAGCCTCCCCTAAAACCACCACCAGTTCATAAACCATCCCCTCCTCCAGTGTATCGACCACCCTCGGTACCACCTCCCTTCAGAAAACCACCAAAAAAACCACCCTCTCCACCGGTTCATCGTAGACCACCACCTTCTCCGCCGCTTTATGGAAAACCACCATCTCCTCCCCCACCAGTTTATGCAAGTTCTCCACCACCTCCTCCAATTTACCACTCTCCACCTCCACCTTTGCCAGTATATCACTCTCCACCTCCTCCTTCGCCAATTTACAAATACCCATCACCACCTCCTCCAGTTTACCACTCTCCTCCACCACCTCCTTTGCCAATTTACAAATACCCATCACCACCTCCTCCAGTTTACCACTCTCCTCCACCACCTCCACCAAGTTACCACTATCTTCCACCACCACCTCCTCCAGTTTACCACTCTCCACCACCTCCTTCACCAATATACAAGCACCCATCACCACCTCCTCCAATTTACTACTTCCCACCTCCACCACCTACACCAATTTATCCTTCTCCACCTCCACCAATTTTCAAGTATCCATCACCACCTCCACAAGTTTATCACTCTCCACCACCACCTTCACCAGTTTATAGATACCCATCACCTCCTCTGCCAACTTACCACTCTCCACCACCACCTCCACCAGTTTACCACTCTCCACCACCTCCTTCGCCAATTTATGGGCACCCATCACCTCCTCCTCCAGTTTACCACTTTCCACCACCACCTCCACCTATTTTCTACTCTCCACCACCTCCACAAATTTATAGGTACCAACCACCACTGTCTCCAATTTACCACTCTCCACCACCACCCTCTCCACCAGTTTTTAGATACCCATCACCACCTCTACTAGTTTACCACTCACCACCACCACCTCAACCAATATATCGCTCACCCCCATCACCACCTCCAATTTACCCCTCTCCCCCACCTCCTTCGCTAGTATATAGACAACCATCACCACCGCCTCCACCAGCTTATGGGTACCGCTCTCCACCACCTCCTATAGTTCGACACTTCCCCCCACCACCACCACCAATTTACCACTTCCTGCCACCACCACCACCAACTTACCCCACTCCACCCCCATCCCCTCATATCTACCACTCACCACCGCCACCTCCACTTCAAGGTTACAGGCACTCACCACCACCTCCACTTCAAGGTTACAGATACTCACCACCACCACCAATTTATAAGTCTCCTCCAACGCCTCCTCTTCAAGGTTACAGATACTCACCACCACCACCAATTTATAACTCTCCTCTGCCACCTCCTTTACATTTTTACCACTCTCCCCCACCACCACCTCCACCTATTTACCATTCTCCACCACCACCGCCACCAGTTTACTAGTCTCCACCACCACCACCTCTACCAATTCATCAATCTCCTCCACCGCCTCCTTTACAGGTTTATCACTCTCCACCTCCTCCACTAGATTACAAACACTCACCATCACCAACACCAACACCACTAGTTTACCACCCCCCACCTCCTCTACATATTTACCACTCACCACCACCTCCTCCACTAGTTTACAAACACTCACCACCACCACCACCACCACCACTAGTTTACCACCCCCCACCTCCTCTACATATTTACCACTCACCACCACCTCCTCAACCAGTTCATCTAAAACCACCATCACCTCCACCTATTTACTTTCAACCACCATCACATCCACCACCAGTACACTTAAAACCACTATCACATCCACCACCAGTTCACCTAAAACCACCATCACATACTCCACCAATTTATGTCAAACCACCATCGCCTCCACCAGTTTATGTTAAACCACCATCGCCTCCTCTAACTTACATGCCAGTATCTTCACCGCCGCCTCCCATTTATCAGCAATAATGTCAACGAGAGAGCTACATATATTCTAGTATGAGTTTGTAATTGCTTTCTAATTAGCAGTTGTCTTTTTTAACCTCTGTTTGAAGTTCAATGTTTAGGTTTTTAAGGTATCCATATGTTCTATGTATAAGAAGAATAAGATCCTTGAGAGAATAACATGTTGGGAATGGTTTATGGAAAGTTCAAGATAATTATTTGAACTTATGGCACTAAGAAGCTTTGATTGGATGGTCCAGATCTTCCTAGTGAAATATTTTGACAGCGATTTGAATTGGGCACAAATCCATGCAAGCAGATAATCGAATTGCAGTTACACACAATACACACACACAGACATCATATTTATAGTAGTTTTATACACACACGCACAGACACAGAGAGAGAGAGAGAGAGAGAGAGAGAGAGAGTTACTAATAAAAGAACATACACTAACGACAATACATAGACATAGAACGGACCGACGTCGACCAACTAAAACAATACAACTAAGTAATACATAGACCTAGAACGAAGGACAC